AAATTAAAATAAAATAATACAAAATAAGTATCTTTTCTATATTTAAAAATGAACAATACTGATTAAGGCCTTTTTATAAAAAATTAAGAAAACAAAAAAACATTGTGCCGGCAATAATAAAGAAAATCAATTGACAAAGGTGAACAAATGAAAATAAAATGTTCTCTGGACAAGCGATTACCCTGCAGCTCGTTGAAAGCCCAAGGCAAGTAGTTGTCGAACTTGTATGAAGCCGGTTGTGCAGTCCGACGTCCAGAAAGATCTCTTCCCTCCGTAAAAAAAGCCGCTGAATCCTGAAAACGTCCACTTGTCGTCCCCGGGGAATAAAAACGAGAGGGCAAACCACAAAAAAAGACAAGCCACCTGTCTCGTCGCCACGCGTTCCTCCTCTGCCGGAGCCGCCGCGCATCAAGCGAACTCTCGTGCACTCGCGCTCCAATTTGAAAGTGGTTATAATATATACATATATATATATATATATATATATATTTATATACTCATAATATTATAATCAAAAATTGTTTATAAACTATCAAAAATTGAAATAATAAAAATCCAACGGAAAATAGTTAAGTAGCAAGGACGAACACAATATTGCTAAAAGGATGTTTCTTTCAATATCCTGTAAAATATTCATCCTCTTGCTTTATTTCGTTTCGGAAGGCTTCTACTCCACACCATCCTAAATGGAAGGCTGGCAATCCATTTTTGCAGCTTCTTGTAGTAAAGGATATTTCTTTTTCTGTGCCATCTTATGTTCGAGTTTTTTTTATGAAGATTGTCTATCCGTTTATATCTTTCTGTTTTGTACCGTTTTATTCATAAGGAGATCTATATAAACATATTTAATATAAATATGCTGAGCTGGATGGTGTGCCTGAGTTTTGATTCCTATTTATGGTTGTTCTTAAAATTTATTATATGTGTTAACAATGCAATTTTATTTTTATTATCGGTCCCTTCTGAATGTCCTGATTACACAGGACCACACAGTGTAACGGTTAACGAAAAAAAACTAGGTAAAAGGTGGGCAAATCTAGGTACATAAAAGCCCCAAATAGCTACCACCGAAGAAAACGACTATGCTTACCATTGGAAATGAAATATAAGGAAAAGCTAAGAAAAAGAGCTGATACACACTCCAACAACACAAAACTTGGTAGGCACTACATATTTTACGTATAGAACAAAGTTTTAGGTTTATTAATATTTTTCACGCCAAAAATAAGACATTAGAAAAGAAAATGTTTATAACTTAATACTACAAAAACAATTATTGAGTAAAAAAAATTCAAAAACTTTTTGTCCCGTTTAATACTGAGTATTTCCACCTCTGGCACGATTCATGTCCGTTAAATGACTTTGCAGTTTGCATTCTGTGGAAAAGTTTTCTGGTTTTCCTGAGGCATTCTTTCCCGTTCATCAAGAATAGCCGTTTCCAACCCTTCTAGGGTTATAGGACTGGGTTTCGTCGTCGTCGTCGGACTCGTCGCTTAAGTTGCCTCCAAATGTGTTTGATTAGGTTTTATTTCTGGACTTCGAGCTGGCCACATCAAGCAATTAATTCCAACCTCATTCAGGTAGTCATCCACAGTACGTTCTCTATGGGGCCTGGCATTTTTGTAATAGCAAAAATCTCTCACGATTTGGGGGGCATATGGCACTACATGTTCTTCGCTTATGTCTTGCAAGTACCACTGTGAAGTTAGAGATTTTCCTAGCAGAGCAACCAATTTGGTCTATTGTCTCTCTTGTTCGTAGACCTTAGTAGGTCCTGCCCTGGCCTTCGAGTGTGAAACACAGTTTCTCTAAAGTGCCGAAGAACCCTTCCTATTGTAGAGTGATTTACACTCAGTCTCCTGGCGACTTCGTGCTGACAGTATGCTTCCACTAATAATGTTATGACCCTGATGCTGTCATACTCCTTCAAATCTCTAACTCGATACATTGAAAAATGTTTAAGAATAAGAAAGAAGAAAAGAGATCGGCAAGACCATAGGCCTAGATCCTACAATTAAGATAACTTTATCAAACATAGACCCGATAATTTCAGAATGGGTCCACACAAAACAAAAGGAGAAATGAACGAATTCTAGCAATACAGGACATAGTAACCTCATGGTTGAAAAACAATCACAAAAACTGGCAAACACATTGTTACAGTAGACAAAGCAAAGCTCAGGGGAGTTGATAGAGCTACATTGCGGTCACCGGCATCTGTAAAAACACCTGCTCTACAAGGGTATATTTAATGATGAATTCAATTGTATGTTATAAATGAGGAGCAAGAAACTGCTTCGAATGCGAAGCAACCGTCCAATCGAGACATGACCGGGGGTATTAAAATGTCCCGGGAAAAGAATTGCAGAAATGTCAGCCAATGACCTACTAATTCTTAAAAGAAGGATCGGGTCAATTGAACTGAACTACTACACCAAGAAAACTACAATAACCAAAAAGGCTGCAGCATTTGGGGATTACCAAACCAACATTTTCTGGAATGTTACTCATCATCATTATCAAAATTGGAAGACAGTCGACCATTTCAGATAGTTTAAACATTATTTATTAATCCATATATAATTTAGTGGTCATAATCGACGATATAGATTATTTCAATTAATTATGATTTTTATCTAAAGTCTTGGTTGAGATGAAAAAGTTTCATGAGCGGGATTCGAACTCACGAACTTCGGCCCAATACGCCGCCGCTCTAACCACTTGAGCTATCGTGATAATGCTATCGTGCTTTTTCAATGTTTTTTTTTTGGTTTTCCCCAAAAATGAAGTCGTGGGTTCGAATCCCTCTCGTGACACTAACTTTTTTCAACTTAACGAAGACCTTAGATAAAAATAATAATTAATTGAAATTATTTATTAAATCCATTATATTTAGTGGTCTATTGACCAAATTACTTCTTTCAATTAAATAATCTTTTTACGTAAGGTTTTGGTTAAAATGAAAAATGTCAAAATGGAGGGAAAATTCGAAAGGTTGTAGGTTGTGGTGGGGAGTTGGTGTCCAAGTGGATCGAAGTCACGATAGCTCGTGGTTAGAGCAGCGGCGTATTGTGCCGAAGTTCGAGGGTTCGAATCTCGCTCGTGGTACTGTCTTTTTCATTTCAACCAAAACTTTACGTAAAGAGATTAATTAATTGAAATAATTATTTATTAAGTTGTTTCAAATATTGCATGAGAATTTTGCAAATTGAAAATTAGAAAACAAATTTAATAAATTTCATTTACAACGCTCGCTTGAAGTTATAGTCAAATAGCTTTTTACATTTTTTTCGTTGAACTTTTAGGAACTTAAAACTTTGTATTGAGTAACACATTCAACTGACTTAAACCTCACATTGAAGCGCTTTGAAATTCGTTTTATGTCGTACATTTAATTGCTTAAAACTTTGTTTTAAGCCTCTTAGTTTTATATCCTTTTATCTTATACCATTGAGAGACGAAGTTCGTGTTTAACAGTTAATTGAAGTCTATGAAGGGGAAGTCTCACGTTATTCTCTTCATATATTAATTGGCTTAGGGGCTGAATGCACTCCAATTTGGAAAATTGTGGTAGAAGGCCCCTTGTGGCAAGATTTAATTACCCGGTAATTAACCTGGGTAAAAGTGGTGAAATTAGATGATTACGTGTTCCGGGTCCATCATCGGTTGTCGGCCTTTAGTTCTCCAACTTCTAGAAGGGTTCGTTAAGAATCCAAAGAGCCCTTTTGTTTTCAGTTCCCAGGTTTCAGACAGCCTTACTAGAGTTTTCATTCTTCCTCCAGCTTTGTTTTCTATCTCAAAATTTCAACATTTTTTCACGTAGAGTAAAACGCCGGGCTTAATAGCCACGATTTTCTCCTCTCTATTGTTTTACTCCTTTTCTTTTAAAGCATGAAGTCTTTAAACATAATTTAATAAAAGGAGTTAGCGTTAAGGTTTCTTATCCTTTTAGTAATGCCGAAGTAAGAAAGATTCATCTTCAACTTCTTTAAACTTCAAGAACTACAAGAAACTTTATTTAACAAGCATAATATCTTTTCTTTACAAGCTTGGTACCGGTCCACTTGCTAACTTAACAAAAATCACTTGTTAACGAAACAATACACCATTATAACAACAAAAAAATTTCCCCATATAAATTTTCGAAATATTTCGTTGTACAACCAATAAATATTTTATAGTTGTTTCATATATATGGGGAATTTCAATTTAATTTCAAATGTCTCACTCAAGAGCGTAATGTCGAAACGCATTTCAGTAATTCAACAATCCCGCGACTGAAGACGTGCCCTTTATGTGACGCAATGAGGGTGGGTTGTGTACATGATAAATATTTTGATGGTCATTTCATATAAACGTGGAATTTCAAGTCATAATTCAGTCTTAAAACAATAATAAGCAGACCTCAAATTCTCAACACATTCAACAAATGCAATATCATCAAATTTTTTTTCAAACCTTTCATCACGCACCCTTCCAAGTAATCCTCCCCTACGGCTGAGGCATCATGACATCGCGACCTCTGTTTTCTTATTATGTGTTGTATATAATTTTTCTTTTTCATTTTATTTTGTGTATATTATAAAATTTACTTAATCATAGCAATTGGAGCATGTTTAAATGAAAAAAGAATTTTGACACATAAAATTGGGTTACAATTGCATTTTTCAAATAATAATTATATGCAAAATAACAAAAACAAATGTTTCTCTTTAAAAAAAAGTTCATTTATTTGTAAAATTTGGAGATATATCGCTCCGACAGATTTCACTTATTTAATTATTCTTATTAATTAACTTATTAAATTTATTATTAATATGAATGAAAAATATATTAATTATTTAAGTTAAACGCTTAATGGATTAGTTTTGAGACCATTTTCGCCAAAGCGGATAAAATTGTACTATGATATCATCAGCGAGTTTGATGAATAGTACGATAAATCATGATTGTTCAATAAACGTACCTGTCAACAGCTATTGCGACTAGGTGCAGGATTGATGCTGTGCAACAGAGCACGTCTGATAACGTCCACATGTCGCACAGTTCCGGCCCCAGGATCCAACTCTGGTTTATCTGAAAGGAAAATATCGCGTTGATTAGCCGAGGAAGCGTTCGTAAAACGGAAAATTGAATCTTTTTTGGGGCAGATCATTTATGTAGGAAATGCATGCATTATAATTCACCGTCAGAGTAATCGGCTGGCCCTTTTCCAGCCCATCCGTTTACCACTGTTATCGCACATCCGTTGAGACGTTAAAGATGCCGCTGTCGGAAAAACGAAGAATTTATAGCAGGATACCGTTTGGCTCATGTTTTGGTTGCTCGGAATAGATGGCTTTTCTTTTTTTAGGGGGGCTTTTCGACACTTATATTTCAATGTGGGACGTGGTTAACAGGTTGCTAGCATACAACGAAGAAGTTATAAAATTTATTAAAATAATATTAGGTTTTTAAAATTTTGTTCTTTCTTTGTTCTAATTTTTCTTTTAAACGCACACACATGGACGCACAGAACTGTATAGTTAATATTAGCTTTAATGAGTGATATGTAGCGACCGTTAATTAACAATTATTTTTGTTTTTAAGGCGCAATTGTCAATTTCTTACCATCAAAATGTTTAACACTCCTCACAAAATTAGTATACAAGTATGTATTTTAAATAGCTTTTTATAATATATATATTCAAAATTTATCATTTACAAATTTTTGACGCATTACACCTTTCGTTTTATACATGGTGAGTTTAACTCCTGTTCCTCCCTATACTTGTTTTTTTATTGGTTTTTTTTCAAAAACCCCTAGACATGCATTTCCTGTAGTTTCTCGCGAACCAAACAAATACATTTTTAAAGATAATCTAGCTCGCAGCTTTTTTAAACATTTTTCAGCATGAAACCATCGTTATTTAATCTATATCATACTTTACAGCTACCTCCATTTTACATATTCCATCATATATTTAAACTACTATCTTTGTTACGTATTTTCCACACATTTTGTATGACACGAGGAAGAGGAAATTACATGTATTACAAGTATTCTCGTGTTCTGAAATCACCATTTCGTTGCTAGCGTAAAACGGGGTAATTCAGATAACATCGCTAAACACAAGACCACAGACATCCATTACCGCATAAACAGCAAGTGGTTAAAACAACCCTCAGGTTACCCGTAATTACTAAACTACTACCAAGAGAAACGGACGTACAAGCAAGTTACTGATTCACATAATACACATAAATCGTAATTAACATAAATTATAAGGATATATTATATATAAGGATTATATAGACGGGAATAATTGGGGAAAAGAAAGCCAAATTGTTGAAGAATTAGACTATGTAGAAATATTTGATGTGAGGAATGTAATGACTGTTTTATATGTTATATGTTTTATGGGAGGTGATGATATATCATATAAAAATGTTTTTTCTATCCCTACTTCCTTCCTGACCTTTTCAAAATCCAACGTATGTAAACATAAAACATCAGTATTTTACTGGGACTCTCAACACAACACACAATAATGACACATCTACACAGAAAACAAACACTTTGAGTGAGTACAAATACTTTGATTGAGTCTAAAATTTCTATCATTGTGTAAATTCATTTATTTACATCCTACATGTATTTGCATAACTTAAACAATGTTTATAAATCCCAGGCCCTGAAGATGATCTCAGTAAAGATCGAAACGTTAGCACGATAAAGAAAATGTTTTTCTAAACCTACTTCACACCAGACCGCATCTCACCATCTCCAAATAATCATTATGTAGTGAAATTGAAAGAATATTTACGATCGGAAAATGAATATAATAATGAACATTATCTATTGAGGTATGGAGATAGTAATGTGCCAATTAGCATCTTTGTGTAACAAATCAGTTGAATTCGACAGTCTTGTGTTTGGCTCACCACCATCAATCCACTACTCAGCCCGTTCGTTCGAGAGGATTGTTCTCTCTGAATCGGAATATTAGATTTTTACGAAACGAATTCTCCCAATTGTGCCCTTGATTTAATAGGGAGAAAGTTGAGCAGAAGGTGTCTTCAACCCTCCCCCTCTTTCTTCGGCGAGATGTTTTAACTGGGGGCGTAAAACCCGTTTTCGACGAGACCCGCTGAATCTTGAATATCACAGGGTTGTGAAAACTGGGTGGATCAAGATAAAGACGTGGCCCCTACAATAGCATCCTCCTATCTTACCCGTTGCAGCAGTTAGAGTTTCGAACATCAAGTGGGACGAAAAGATAATGCTCGAGGACTTTATCGGCGGGCGCCTGTATATTGTACGAGGGCCCGGTTGAAAAATGTCAATCCGCCTTCACTGACGAGGCACCCCTGTACAATTTTTCCTCTTGTCGTTAAAGAAGAGAAAAATTATGATAGCGGACATTTTTAAACGGACCCTAGATGTTTATAAGGGTTGCTATCTTCAGAGCTTGAAATAGATATACCAATGTCGAGATATCTAAGCCACTGAAAGTGTCTTTATTCAAATATTGTTATAAAAAAAATGCATTTTTTAAACCAGTTACTATCAATAAAGTTTTTATCAAAAATATCTATATACGTAGCTATGATATTAGATAGAGAGGGAGAGAGAGAGAGAGAGAGAGAGAGTGAGAGGGAGAGAGAGTGAGAGAGAGAGAGAAAAATAAAGAGAGAGAGAGGGATAGATAGAGAGCGAGAGAACGAGAGAGAGAGTGAGAGAGAGAGAGTGAGAGAGAGAGACAGGTTTTTAGTGTGGGATAAAAAAAAAAAGAATCGAATTAAAAAATGTCTGGAATACGTAGTTTTATAAAATTTATCGGTACTAAACATTCAAAAATTAATTTATCAGAAACAATTTTTTTTACGTTTTAGGGCCAGCAAACTGCAATGGTCATCGCTAGCCTTTTCTTCCTTAGCTTTACATTTCTTTTCTTATCTTTCTCGCGTATTAATACGACTTTTTTTCTGTTTCTCCAGGAGAGATTCGATTTTTATGGTACAACAGTAACTAACTTTCTCTTTTCTTTGTCCTATTGCTACCCTCTTTGTAGCTCAGAGCTTCGTAAATTGTGGATAAAATAAGACAAATAACAAAAAACATATACGCAGAAACAAGATAAAAACATGGTAGTCTGGTTAGCATTCACTCTACCCCAGAATACTCGATATTCCTCGGGGTAATTGAGGATAAAACCCTCCCATTGACGCTAATAAAAATTACATTCGCACATTTATTCATTCTACCCCAGAGTACTTGATCTTCCGCGGGGTTATGGGATAAGCTACCTTTCACGGTTAAAATTGCACTCACACACATTCATTCACACTAACCTAGATTATTCGATATTCCTCGGGGTATTTGGGGTGGATAAGCCCCTCCATTCACGCTAATAAATTACACTCACACACATTCATTCACACTATCCCAAAGTACTCGATATTTGTCGGAGTATTTAGAGGATAAGCCCCTCCAGTCACGCAAATAAATGCATTCATTCCAATAAATGACGACACAAATATCCTATACAATTAAAAATATTTATGGCCTGCGATATAGGAACAGCGATCTGTGCGTGCTGCTCAAGGCCGCGCATAGGTCATTCGGGATGTCGTATTTCTTTCTTTGCTTACTTAGTTATTTGTAATCCGGCATTATATGCTCTATCCTGATAACTTCTCCACTTAATATTAAATGACGCATTGTGTGTATTGTTTTCAATGATATTTTTGTTAATCCAATGCTTTTCTGTTTTTGAAATAACTATTTTTTTATTATTAATTGCTTATTATTTGAATTAATCTGGCAGTCAACAGAAACAGATATAATTATGTGGTACAATTAAATGCAAAACAGTACTATAATATGGCATTGGTGTGTAGTGCAAATTTAATCTCAATATAAATTGGTAAGATTTAAACTGCCACCTTTGGATAGCCATAAAATACTTCTAGATTAAAATAATTTACGTATGTTTTAACATAATAATACCCGCATTATACATGTTACGATATGTTTTAAATAATAATGCATACTACATCGTGTATGGTACATCACGGTCGGCCCTTATTATATTTATGTTAAATTGATAGATGACTCAATATGGAAGGCAGTTCAGTAATCTTAGCCCTGTCTCGTAATAAATAACCAGATAAGAGCATTATTAAAATGCTTGACTTAAAAGGTTTAATGGAGCTTAACTGCAACATAACCTCCTTTAACTATACGCACACACGCAGACACATTTGCTTGAGAAGGAGACGCCCTGAGTGACGAAGAAAAAAAACCTTTTTTTTTTTAAGGAGGCTAACCGGCTCACCACTGTTTTTCATGTCAATTTTATTCTAATAACATTTTTACGGCTGTAATTGTTTTACAGATGTAAAAATCAATAAAAAAGAAAAAATAATAACGTTTTACCAAATATTTTGAGAAGAATGATCAATAATCAATACAATAAATATAGTAATAATATACAGGGTGAATTGCTACTCGCGCTACAAACTTCTCCAGTAGATTCTTCACCCTAAAATGAACAAAAAAGTTCATATTGTCCATGGTCCGATTCTCAACCATTTCAGAGTAATTTCGCTTTTTATCGATTTTGAAAGATATCACGTCCTGGCGTCGGAAAATCGTGATATCTTTTAATCTAAACATTTCTCTTAAAATCTATAAGCACCGTTGAAATCCCCGTTAATTTTTAGAGAGAATCAAAATCATAATTCCATTGAAATTTTTTAATTTAATTTAATGCCCATTTAGTATGTAATGCTTAAGAAGTTTACAAACAGCTAGAAGGTCAAGGAAGAAAGACCCAAACGTTTTGCCACCTTCATCTTCTTATTGAAAAATTAACGGGGATTTCAACGGTGCTTATAGATTTTAAGAGAAATGTTTAGATTAAAAGATATCACGATTTTCCGACGCCAGGACGTGATATCTTTCAAAATCGATAAAAAGCGAAATTACTCTGAAATGGTTGAGAATCGGACCATGGTCAATATGAACTTTTTTGTTCATTTTAGGGTCAAGAATCTACTGGTGAAGTTTGTAGCACGAGTAGCAAGTCACT